TTAACCGTACATCACCAACGTTTGTAGAACAAAGTGTTGTTAATTTGTTTATTGAACATTACCACCATTTGAAGGGCATACTGTTGATAATTGGTTAAACGAACATCACTGCCATAACCGAACATCCCCGCACTATTTAAAAGACAGATAGTGGTTAATCAGTTAACCGAAAACCACTGCCATTTGAAGGGCGAATAGTGGTTGATGGATTAACTTACCACAGCTATTATAACTTCAACGGTTACATAAAACCCACAACCGTTATACAACCAACGTACTGTTGTGGGATACGATGACACTCCTTTTAGATAATCCACATTTCTGGTTTTAATACTATTTGTGCTTTAGTGCTTGGTTTTGATTGATAATACAAAAAAAGTATTACTAGTGATTAATTCGTAAACAGTACGTCACAAACATTTGCAGAACAGAAAGCGGTGAATTGGTTAACCAACCATACCGTCACCGTGTTATATAATGGTTAATGGGTATACCGAACATTAGCTACCCCGTGATATATAGTGGTTAATCGATTAACCGAACATACACGTGATATATAGCGGTTAATCGTGCAACTGAAGCTCGTTTCGAACAACTATTCCCCCTTTCCAAGGCATAACACAAAAATCCGCAACCGTTATACAACATACGTACTGTTGTGGAATTCAAAGTGATTCGAGATTCTTGCTGCACACTAAGACAAATAATTTTTAAAACTATGTATGTCTGAGAAAGTCTGACATTAGTCAGACGAAACGTCACAGAAATATATTTGTGTTAGTGTGCAGCAAGACTCTTGAATCACATAGAGAAAAAATCTCATTTTTGTCATTTTCTGTCGCATACACTTCGACAAGTTCGAGTTACAAGTCAAATCATAACTGCCAGGTAAAAAAAACTGAATTTGCTTCAAAACAAGAATTTTTTGGGAAAGAACTGAGGTGACTAGACGGCTTAAGTTCACGCAAAAAAAGAGCCAACTTTTGCAATATTTGGAAGCAATAAATTTACATACATAATTTGTATAGCAAAGATTAGAAAATACTGTTGATGTATTGTGAACCCTCGTCATCTTTTTTATTTTGCCACAAAGGCTGTTTCAACGGCTCACAAAAATAGCGGAGCTAATCCAATCGCGACACCAACGTTACAAAAATTTTCGCAAGAAATCTTTGTAGACGAAGTCTATTTATAAAATTTGCGAGACGTAGATAAATCATGTTCAATAATGGCATTGAAAAATAATTAAAATGAACGAACTCAGACTTGAACTGAATTAATAAACGTCATCCGTGCAACAGAAATGGATAAAAGTGGAATTTTTCAGACTATTATGAAATTTTAACATGCACAAAATTAATAAAACATCTTGCCTTCAAGCAAAAATGAACTGCGTTCACGCAAAGAATAAAATAAAAAAAAACGACAAGTTTGAGTTGTATGTCACCCTGACACACGGAGAACTCACAATATAGGTTTAACGGTACTTCTGTAGTGTATGTACCAGTTTAGGATTAGGCCATAATTTTATTCCGATTTTCCTTATTTCAGTACTATTACGAGTTCAGGGTCTGTCTGTGCTAACCAAGTAAATATCCCCCTGCTCATAGGTTTCAGTCATTTTACACAACTTGATGTAAAGTAGGCGAACAAAATTAGTTATCTCCATATTGGTACACATACTTCTGGAGCGCCGGTTTAACCATGCGGCAGAGATGAGCGTTGAATGTGATTTACACGAGACGTGAAATTAATCAAATCACCACTATGAGGTCAACAAACTGAATTCGCTCCAAATCAGAATTTTTTTTTGGAAAGAACTGACGTAACTATAGATGATGGCCTGAGTTCACGCAAACTAGAGCCAACATTTCCAATAATTGGAAGCAATAAATTTACATACATAATTTGCATAAGCGAAGATTAGAAAATACTGTTGATGTATTGTGAACCCTTGTTATTTTATTTTACTTTGCCCCAAAGGCTGCTATAATGTTTTCACGGCTCACAAAAATAGCGGAGCTAATCTAATCGTGAAACTGATGTGACTAAAAATCGCTCGATATGTCTCTGTAGACGAAGTCTATTTATAAAATTTGCCACACAATGAGAAATCTTGTCCAATATTGGCATCAAAAAATAATTAAAATGAACGAACTTGAACTTAATTAATGAACGTCATCCGTACGACAGAAATGGATTAAAGTGGAATTTTTGAAACTAATATGAAATTTTAACACGCACAAAATTAATAAAACATCTTGACTTCAACCAAAAATGGACTGAGTTCACGCAAAGAATAAAATATGATAATCTTGCGGTTTTTGACAATATATCTGAATTTTTGGAAATATTATGAGACGTTCGACACGCATAAAAATGTTGAGGGTTGGCTTGAAACGCCAACCCCTCGTTAAAACTTATAAAAAAATTGAGCTATTGTTTATTTCTGTTTCTAATGATTTCTCTAGACGGATGGTCTAAACCCAGGCCAGCGGGCCACATGTGGCCCGCCGCTCCATTATCTGTGGCCCGCGCCGCATTTGGAGAGTAATCAAAATATCGTATTTTAAATTACTTCTCATAAAATAAATCAGAAAAATCGTTTGACATATTGATTTTATATCACCACTGTAACTGAATTTAGTATGATGGCTAGCTGAAGCACCTAGCGAAGTTGAAGATGTGATGGGCAATTTAAATTGTTACCTGGATTTCTATCGTTTTGGTCGGGAATATATGCTAACAATATAGGCATGATAGAAAACTAAACATCGGATGCGGATTTCATTAGCCTAGGTTGGCAATGCCTGATAACTATGTGTTTACACAATAGAAGTGCTTGTTTTGTATTGCACTGTTTATCTATTCTTGGTACTACTGTGGCCCGCGACCAATGCCAAAATAATTTTGTGGCCCGCGGAGCCCACAACCTTGGACCACCCTGCTCTAGCATGCAGACATATTTATTACTTGTTGAAATATTGCTGCTTCCGTAGTATGCGAACCAAGATGGCGGACACCGGAACGTAGTATGTGTACCAGGTTAGGGTTAGGTCATAATTTATTCCAATTTTCCTTATTTTATTTCTATCACGGGTTCGGGGACTAGTCGAGTGACTTCCGTGATATTTGTACCTAAAATTATTGCCTCACCCTGACCTTGGTACACATACTTCAGGAGTACCGAAATATTACTTGTTTCGGGATTCGTGTTCTGGATTATTATTAGTTAGACTTGATTAGAACGAAGTCGGATACACATTATAGAAAAAAGTTCGCAAAAATTTGGTCATTGGTAATTTCGGGTTGAAAATTTTTAAATATTCCTTGAGCGTGCAGACTAATAATTTGTTTTGGAATTTAAAATCACGACATTTTAATCAGTAATAACTGTTTATTTAACGAAAGTTTCGATCGATATTTCTTGTTTATTAAAATATTATCTGATACAATTTTTTATTACAATAAAGAAACATCACATATTGGAAACATTAATGATTTTAATAGGTAATTAAGTTGTTTCCTGTTTGGCACTCCTATTTCCTGATGAATTGAATATACATTTAAAATGTTTTTTCCTGACGTATCGTATGGTTTCAGTTTTATTTATGTAAAGTCTAATGCATCGTTTCTCAAACTCAAACTTTGCTCGGAACACTTATACGCTTTTCATCTCGCCTCACGAAACACCAGGTAAAATTGATAATACAAAAATTGTGTAATGGATTTGCTTTGTGCATCAACTTATCAGACATCTTTTGAGCCTTCCAATATCCAATTAAAACGTTCTAACAGAAAGTTGATATTTGATTAGAGTAGATTGTTAAGTAGAGCAAATTGTTAAATATTAGAAACTATATCGTATTTACAGTTTTCATTGTGTCAAGTCTAGTGGATTAAATATATCCATTTAAAACGTTCTAACACAAAGCACACTATATGATATTTAATTAAAGAAGTGAAAATTGGTAAATGTTTGAAACTTTCAGGAATTATCGTATCAGTTTTTTTTATGTAAAGTCTAATGAATTGAACTCTAAATTACAACGTTCTGTACACTGATGTACACCGATTGGCGTTTGAAGTAAAGAGAATTAATAAATGATAGAAATTTTCTGGCAATATCGTACTTACAGATTTCTTTATGCCAAGTCTAATGGATTAAATATCCATATAAAACGTTTTAACACAAAGTACACTGGTTGATATTTAATTAAAGTTGAGAAAATTGCTAAATGTTTGGAACGTTTCCCATTTCGTATTTACCGTTTCCTTTAAGTTGATTGAATAGAACATCCATTGAAACATTCTAACACAAAGTATGCTAAATAGGACTTTAGTGATCTGATATATTGATTGATTAGAATATAACAGTATACTTCCACGTTTTGACAATATGGATAATCGAATTGTTTCCTGTATGTTGATCTTAATAACTTGTATTTGCATTATAACACATAGTTTATATAACTGATTAATTTTGTTAAATATTCAATTGTTGCATTGCTAAATAGATATAAAGTCAATCTAAAAGATTTCAATACTTAATTCATTTAAATCCTATCCTATTCACCTACATCCTATATGTTCCTATCACAACATATGCCCAAAAAACTTAAGTAACTTATACCTCATTTCGGACAAATATTCTATTTTGTTCAATTCCTAAGGCCTAAATCCTTAGTAGAGTCCTTATGGATCGTTTGGTACTCCCGAAGTATGTGAACCAAGATGTCGGCCACCGGAACGTAGTATGTGTACCCGGTTAGGGTTAGGCCATAATTCCATGCACAGATACTACGGCTAGTCCTAGAACTGGTAATAGAACTAAAATAAGGAATATTGAAATAAAATTATGGCTTAACCCTAACCTGGTACACATACTACGTTCCGGTGTCCGCCATCTTTGTGCACATACTATGAAATACTAAAATTTCTTCCGGGATGAGAAACACTGGTTTAATTAACTATCCACACAATGAAAAACCATGACTTACCATCTGCTGCATTTCCGGAGTCTTGAAGAAGTAGTAATATCCCTATGACCGTTAGGGCCCGGTATAGTCTCCGCATATTTTCTTGAACTTTTTGAAAGTTGACGTAATTTCTTTGATGAGGTCACTTGAGTGAAATTGATGTCTTTCGAAGGAACTTTTTGGAGTTAAATTATGATAGTAGAAAGAAAATGCTGTTATAGTTACTTATGTTACAAAGTCTGGAAATAAAATTGGAATTTTGAAGTAAGCAGAATACTAATAATTGGTGAAATTCCTTCGACCATGAACAAATTTGACCGGTTAACCGGTGAAAAAAGTATTATCGTTAACTGTCATTTAGATGTATATTTTACACAGTTAAAAATAGAAATGCAATGGCAATTAAAGAAACAGAGCCTTTTTAACTTTATGCAGAAAATTTATTAGAAGCTAATGGAACACTTGGACTGAGATATATACTTTCGTTACTGTCCAACTTGTTGGCCTAACCCTAACCTGGTACACACACTACGGGAGTACCAAAAATTCCCTCATTTTAGGAAATGCATGTGTGTTATTACTACTTATACTAAACTACACTAGCATTGTACGCATTGCATAAATATAATAGTGTACATAACTTGACGCCAAATGTAACGCTGATTGCACGTACATTTCCTGTGGTCGTCTAACGTCTAAAACAAGACCAGTTCGCCGATTATCGCAATATTCCAAGAACGGGTTCGCGCAAATCCAATGAATCACAGCACTATCCTTCTGTGAAACACAATCGCGGTCAACTGCAAAGTCTTTCCAACGAAATATCGTCTTGGAATCTAACATGTCAGAAATACAATAATTTTAATCTTTTATGGCTTCCTCCACCATCAAGTCCATGCATCTGAAAACAAAATAACTGGTTAACTAATCTCCTACGCGACATGGACAGGCAACCGGACGAATGGCCCACCTTGCTGAAAACAACTTACTGAGCCTTCTTTAGTGATGAGACTCAAAATGTCCCTCATTTCACAAAATGTATGTATGTTATTTCTACTTACTTGACTACACTATATCAATACACGCGTTACATAAGTCTAATACATAACTTTACAAACGCAAAATTTTATGCTGATTGCACGTATCTCATTTTCTGTGGTCGTCTAACGTCCAAGACAAGAATTCGCTGATTATCACGACACAATGCCAGTCAAAAACGATAAAGTCTTTTGAACGAAATATCGCCTCAAAATCTAACGCAACGCCGAGGCAAGTCACGTCAAAAGATACAAGAATTTTTACCGCGCGTTAACTTAATCTTAGCGCTAGGTTTTCCCACACTTTAAAAACGATGATGTAAATTTTACTGGCATTGCAAAAGGTGGCCATAAGTTGTTCTAATTCAATCTAGACTTTAAAATGGAAATTCACTAAATATAGCTAACTACTCGGAAACAAACGCATATAAAACTTTATCACAAACTCTTGTTTTGCTGTTACAAACATTTTGCTGAAACAAAAGTCTCGATTTGTATAGAAATTCTCTCGATTTCGACAGATATTTTTAACAGCCCTAATTTCCGGTAGTAAAACTGTCTTTTCCGAAGGCTACAGGTGAAATATAATTGCAAGTGTGAGAATACGCACTATACTCCGAGTAACTGCCGTGAAAACGTATTTACAAGTAATTTATGTCGTTACGGCAATTCGTAATTATACTTTAAAAAATAAAGACTACGTTAAGATTACGTTAATTCATACGTTATTAACGCCTTTTTCTCTTTCAAAATAATCTAAGACGTTTTCATAAGACAAGTTCGGGCCTTGGATGAACTCTGTATATAATGCCGTGTTTTGATTGATGTGACAAAAATTTGAGATTGTGACATCCTGATTAATTTAAAATTACTTTAGAATGTTAAAAATGTTATGATTTTTTCGATTGTTTTGTGGTGGCGGTCACGTGTGCGTCATGTACAAACTTGATGACATTTGTTCGCGGTTATGTCGATCATAGTTGTTATGTGGGCGCTCCAGAAGTGTGTGTATCAATATAAAGGTAACTAATTTTGTTCGCCTATTTTACATCAAGTTGCGTAAAAGCCAGAAACCTATGGGCATGGGGTGTATTCACTTGGCTAACACAGACAGTCCCCGAACTCGTAATAGAACTAAAAAATGCAAATCGGAATAAAATCATGGCCTAACCCTAAGCTCGCACACATACTAGGGGAGTATAGTTTTATATATATATAATAAATGCCGATATTCCGATACCGATAATATGTAATTAACATCAGTTTATATGCCGATTCATCGATACATCTCCAATATGTAGTGCCGTTATGGTTGTCGCAACATAGTTGCTGTATGTACTTAATTCTTAGTAAGTAAACTCATACACACATAGGCATCATTATGTTGGGAAATATTAATAAAATATAGGTAAAGGAGCGGGATGTCCCACAGCATCGCGTATTTTCTCGCGTTAAACATAGTGTTAGATTTTTGCCTTTATATAGGTTACTTCTAAAGTCTCTTTACAACTCAATTTTATTATGAAGTCAATTCTCAATATATTTTAACCAGGTTTATGTTGTTCTAATCAGTGTTCACTTAAGCTTTTTCAATTCATTCATTACACTTTGATTTGATATGCCGACTAATAGTTGCACAAAGCATATCAAAGTTATTTTACCTAATTTAATATAGGACTTCATGAATATTCTGTTTAATAGCAAAATGCAGTACTGACTCGGAGTTGAGAGAATTCTACCTGAAACTGCCATATAATGCCCTGATGAAGATTTCGCACTTTGACTTTGGGTACCTCTGCCCGATAACCAGTACCGGTTTTCTGCGTCTCCTTCACCCTGAAAAATGGGTTTGTTTATACTTGATTGCAATATATTGTTCCTATTTTCAGTATGATGAAAAATGAATTACTGATTACTTGACACGAAAATTTCTACCTAAAACTGCCATATCATGCCTTGATGAAGATTTTCAGAATTGCTCTCCTGATTTCGCCACATAAGAACGCAATGTCGTGTTAGATTGCGCTGTGGTCAACCATCTACTTAATGATACAAATTAAACAGCTTTGAAAACCCATAATTTGCAATTCGTAACCTTCAAACATCTGTTTGAGAAAGTTATAAATAGTATAAAGTTTTTCGTTGTGTATCGGCTTTCACGAATAGTCGGTAAACCGAAATTTCGTCAAAGGATGGTTTTTCGGTTACCCGAATCGTTAGCACTGTCACAAGCACAGCTTAAGAATATAGTTATATTGATGACTGAACATAATAAATATACATTATACGGCTTTAAATTCTACCCATCAGTCAAGGCAACCAAACTAGCGGTCAACCGAATTACCAACTTTTGTGAAGTCACTTTAGGTTCATGTAATTGGTTGAACAAACCGAACTTTAATCGCCAGTCCAAAAAATGGTTGATTAATCGAATAACTGATTTTTTAAAAATACACGGTTAACGGTTTACATGCTCTAACCATGGGCTATAAATTATGATCAACCGAAATAAACACTATTGGACTTCGGGAACCTGTAATTTACGATTTCAAAATCTTCAACTTCGTTTTTTGTTGCAATTGACACCTGTGAAAGTTGTTATAATTGGCAAGAATGCGTTTCGTTTGTTTATCGGTAACCACGAATAGACGGTATACCAAAATTTGACAATGAATAGTGGTTAATCGAGTTAATTCGGTTTAACGAGAGCTGTATGAGTCTTTTGAATGAATGGATGGTGGTTATGGATACTGGTATGGCTGGTGGTTATTCGGGTAACCGATCTGTTAAAAGTAGTAACCGACAGCTGTATGAGTCTTTTATAACTGGTACCGTAACAATGGTAAGATGTCGAAAACACCGCGCTTCAAGTGTAAATACCTGCCTTCGTGCTAATCCAGCAATTAAAATTGACAAACAAGCCGTTTGATGGTTGTAATGCAACATAAAGTCATATTCTTCACATACTTTCGATTCGGTAAATCGATATAAGTCATAATGGTTCTTTGATTAACCGATCATAAGGCACAAATATTGGTTAGTTAGATAACCAAACTTGTCAATAACTTTTGAATAGAAATGCTAAGTTAAATGAATAATATTCACATAAATAGGTTTATTGATTGCCAACTATTCTCCAATTTCAAAGTGTTTATCCTATCTTGCAAACTATTGGCAGCAGTACTGGCATTCCAGCTCTAACCCTGCAATTAAATGAACAAACGGGGTTTCGGTTTAGTCGGTGTTTTACCGGTTTACTGAAGTTGATGGGTAATCGGTTAACCGAGGGTATTGCTTAGTACTCAAAATGTATAAATTATGTTTGAATAACAAAATTCTTAGTCAATTAAATGAACAAACAGAATTTCTAGTCGGTGTTTACCGGTTTACTGACGTTGATGGTTAATCGGTTAACCGAGGGTATTGCTTAGGACTCAAAATGTATAAATTAAGTTTGATTAACGAAATTCGTACGTCATAAAAATAGGATAACGGAATTACTGACAAACTGCAACATACTGGCATCTGACAGGCAAAGTTTGGTATAATTAACATTGTAACAACGCCGGCATGCGCATAACGACCGATAAGAGTAAATAAATTACCTGCTTTAGTTACAACCATACAATTAGGTTTGGATAACAAGCTCTTGGTGGTTGTAATACAACATAAAGAGGTGTTGTTATACTTTTGCTTCGGAAAATTGGTTTAATGGTTAACCGTGCACAGCGGGCATATATCGGCTGGTCGGATAACCGAACTGAAAAACACGGTTTAAAATATATATATATATATATGCTAGATTTAATAAATAAAATTGATAACAAAAAATCCTGACCTACGGAATACTGACAAATCACAACATACTGGCGATACACTAACAACTTCAACATGCTGCGAATACCGCGATCAAATGTAAATTCGTCCAAAATCTATAATTCTTTTCTTCGGTAAATCTGTACTATAAGCGATAATGGTTCATTGGTTAACCGATCATAAAAGACAAATATTGGTTGATTGGATAACCGAACTTTAAACAACCGGTTTGCACGGGGAATAAATGGTCGGTTGGATAACCTGACTTGTAAACAAGTTTTTAAATGTATATATGTATGCTAGATTGAATAAATAAAATTGACGACCTGACTTGCGAAATACTGACAAATCGCAACATACTGGTGACTGACGCTTGGTATT